AATTATGCAGCGTCCTGAAGCATCGTTTCTGAATGCCTTTCCCCTCCCTCCATTTTTGAGAAAATAATCTTTCTTTCTTCTCCATATCGGACTCCTCCCCGCCCCAGCTTCACACACGCCTTTACATTGGGTCAAGATTCCTCAGGGGTGCCAACACCACCCCCCACCGCCACCCCGCACCGCCACCCACATCAATGAAAATGCCATCGCTTGAAATCCACGTGCTCTTTCCGAAGCACGGACATTAATAAACTTTCAAATAGCACATAAGTCTTAAGTTACAATTCTACAAGACTATTATTACACACACTGCACGTTTATACTTTGAATGGAGCCTGCAATCCTTGGACTCAGTAAAAACAAATAATGGACGGGTCGACGATGCTCGTGAAAGATTTGAGCGTAATTAATTGTTATAGCTCAGTCTGGAGTTCCCGCTCACCGCACAACGTTAAAGCACAACAGCAAAGAAACTGACTGCGGCTTGTCAAACACACACAAGATTTTAATGTGGACTGTCAGCCACACACGTCAGAGGATGGCTCTGGTCTGGCCGGTCAGGAACTTCTCAAAGTCGTTGGTGTTAGACTCGAAAGATTTGGCATTTGTAACCGATTCAATTTGATGAATGTACAATCATTATAATAATAATAAATGCATCTGATATATAGTCACGTCATTGAGACGTCTCAAATTGCTGCACAGGGTATACTGTAAGGGGAATTGACTGTATATTCTGTGGGTGAAACGCGGCAGCCAATTGTGCACAGCAGCGTCCCACGAACAGTCGTGGACTGAGTGACCAAATTATCATTTTTATGTTTTTGAAGGGATTATTACCCCTGGAAAGCAATCCGCCAATTGACTAACATTTCCTACTTACTATAAATAAACAAATGCGTGCAGAGTGCGGAAACTTGCCTAGGGTTTCACCTGGCCCGGGAATCGAACCAGGGGTCCTCTTGCTTTCGAGGCGAGCGAGCTAACCCCTACGCTATGGGACTCCACAGTACTAATCATCCTCACAGTTGATGGGGAATTATATAATCCTAATTGTTACTGGTGATAATTATTACATTGAATCAGTTATGAAATACCACATTATTTACCCCTAAACTTTTATCCATTTAAACATCCACATTAAGCCAAAACAGTTATGAACAACTCTAATAAGCTATAATCAGCCTGTCTCAGTTGTTAGCGCTCTTGCCTCTGAGTCAGAAGAGTTGTGGGTTCAAGCCCCACATCGGGACCTGGAATCTATATCGTCTATCCTGACACTCTAACGCAGTGCTGAGGGTCTACTGTTTTGTTGAAGGTGAGATATTAAACCGAGGTCTTGTCGTCTGTTCATGTGGATGTTAACGATCTCATGGTACCACTCGACCGAATAAAAATGATCATTCACTTCATGGCTGTTTGTGGAACATTGCTGTGCACACATTTGCAGCCCCATTCGCCACAAGATACAGTCACCTCACTTTACTGCGTATCTTGTGAAGCGCTTCGAGACATTTCAACGACCTGATACGTTGCTATATCAAATGCAAAGATTATTATTATAATGCAATATGCCGCCCCTTTCATAGACCTGGGTGCGAGTTTTCAAAATAGTGGATGTGAATAAAACCCATTATTGTTATTTTTTGCGCTGGAACTGTTGGTGGGAACTGTGGACACAGATTACTTCCTCAGTCTATGAAATGTTTTCAATGTTAACAGTCTTAAAGTAGCCCTGTTTATTGGTCGCTGCCAGAGCATTTCAATAGCCTATAAATCAAAGCTTTCAAGGCCTTCCCAGGAGTAGAAAACTAACCTTGCTGAAATACTTCAGGCAATTAAAAGAAACATTTACAGACACCGTCACAGAACAGGGCCTGCACTGTGAATTGTGGAAGCACAGACAATTAGGGAGAACTTAATTTTCTTCTGGATATGCTTTTGGTGAAGTTCAGTGTAAACATTAGTTGGTCAAGCCAACGGTGCACCAATCTTCTCAGACGGCTCTGGAACAGACATATGTCAGTCTGTTCTACTCTGGAAAGTCAGTGTCTAATCTCCTCTGCACTGTCAAAGGTCAGATGTATTCTCGTCCCCTCCCCTCATCCCTCACACCCTTCACAAAGATTGATAAATTGGTCCATGAAATCAAATAACAAAATATATATTTTTGTAATGGTTATAACCACAAACTGATGGCTATTTACCCAATGTTTTTTGGCACAGGGAAGATTAACCTGCACTCAATTTAGGTAACTTTTTAGATAGACATGAAGTAATGCGGGGTAACTGAACTGTGAGACGTGGGCCCCACACCTACAGACGATGGTACCAAGGGGAAGCATATTGATGGTACAAAAGGAGAGGACAGAGCTGTTTCTTTCTCAAGGGACCCTAGTTGAAATTAGTGCACGTTAGATCACACTGCATTAAAATAATTGGTACAAAGCTAGCCAAGACTACGCAAGATTGACATTGTTTGTGTCAGATTATACAAATAATAATAATAATCCTTGCATTTTGGAACATTGCCTTATCACATTGTTGAGACGTCTCAAAGTGCTTCACAGGATATACTGTAAAGTGAATTGACTGCATTTTGTGGGCGAAACACGGCAGCCATTTGCACACAGCAGCGTCCCACAAACAGTCATTGAGTGAGTAACCAATTTTATTTGCCAGGTCATTGGTGAGGACACTGGAAGAAACTCCCTCTTCTTTCGTGTAACGTCCACCTGAACAGGCAAAGAGGACCTCCGTTTAACCTCTCAGTGTTATTCAGCATTTGGTAACATTGAGCGAGTTAAAATCTCTGAGGGATTTCTGGCGTAAATGTTCCAGGACACATTATATTTACTGCCTAAATTAGCGATAACATTTAGAAGACAGGTACTATGCAATATCTTTTCATATCACTGATGCCACCCACACCAGGTATTAATGGTTCAATTGTCACCAAACCATTAATATTTATTGACAGTGGTAAAAACGTCAATAGAGGTGATTGTGTAAACACCACTAATTTGAAGCAGGGACCGACGTACACCAATTAGGGTCCATGTAGACCAATGCCGCTATTAAAATTGCTCTGAGAATTACCAGTCAAAACGAACAGCCTCGCTTTAGTTACAAGTTTGAGTTCTGTTTAACTGTGTATGGAATAATTTTTTTTAAAAAAATCGTTTCCATTATTTTTCAACCAACTCGCACTTCGGAGAAACAAATTGAGACCTGTTTAATATGGCTGACCCAGATCTGCGCTCTTCTCACTTATCCACCATAAATTATTCTCATAATGGGAATCGTCCATCATTTCTATTCCTTGACTGCTATCTTTATTCCAGAAGTTTACAGATCTAAAAAATATCAGAGCAACTAGACTCACTTTAAATACGAAAGTGATGTATTTTTAAACCACGTTTTCTTAATATAGGTAAGAACAACTGGCTGAAAACAAGCTGCAACCTATTTAAGTGTAACCTAAAAAAAGAGGATAGCATTTATCATTCATGACAGGTTTGCATGTGTGTTGAGGAGGGGTGGGGGGAAATCAGGCTTTCTAAATGTATTTCTTGGCAATCTTCCCCACACTGTAGGTTTGGAGCTCTGCAGCTGCAGTTTATAATCTGTGCAATAACACCCCCAACAGCTGTGTGGATAAAAGCCGTGCTCGGGGTGAAGGGCCGTGGTGCACACTGCAGGGTTTGTTTGACCTGATCTTAGCTTCAGTAGCGATTGAAGGGCCAAAATTGGGACCCTGGCCAGTGATGGGAAAATCACACAGGGCTCCTGCCCTCATCACTGAAGCCCCGTAGCTGCACATCCTCTACGAGTAGATGTTAGAACGAGTCAGACTTGGCGGTCACTTCCCCTCACACGAGTGAATAGCCTAATAGCTGAGGTCCTGGGGAACTCTACCCCAGTAAAAGGAAAGTGGAGTCAAAAGCCTTCAGGGGAGAAGAGAAGCACGGGAAAGGGAGCATCTTTTTTTCAACAGCAAACAACGACTTGCATTTGTGTAGGGTCCTTCGCGGGTGAGAGCGTCTTGGAATGCTTCACCACGGTGGGGTTGGAACCCACACGTGCGTGGGTACACTGCGCAAGTAGAGGGTGAGGGAATGGGTAACACCGAAGATGTTACATTTTGGTACTTCATAATCCCGAAGGGCTTCAGTACAAGCTTCCACTCAACCCCGAGGCTGGGAGTGTGTGAACCAACCCAGAACTTGAGCGCTGAAAGTGAACCATTGGACCTACGGCCCATTAAATTGCTCTGCTGATTTCACCTCTCCGCCCCAATGCAACACTGATAATACCCATGCATCATGCAGAGGTTTACAAATGTGGTGCCGCCGCCAGTTTGCCACGGTCCAAGCAGAATGTTCTCGGAGCGGTTGAGATTATGTCAGTGCCGGGGAGAAGGATGAACTGAGGCCCAAAGCACGCTTGAATGTGTCTGAGAGGATCGGTCATGAAGCAGAGCGTTCATACACAGTGTTATTGTTGGATTACCGCTCCAGGATCAATTTTTCAATTGCGAACCTGTGCCGTCAAAATTAATCAAAATGACAAGGTTTTGTTCTCGTCACTTTAAAGTCTCCCTATATGCGTACTATTTCTAATTCACGGTGCATCATCAGATGTAGCTGCTGTCTCTGAAGCCTGTGATATAGTTCATATATGAAAAAAAGCATATGGGATATACTGACACCGAAATTATGAACATTTAATGCATTTATTTTCCCCCCACAAGTAATTGAGCATAAAATTGTAATCACCCGACACTGTTCTGACTGTTGGTTGATTAAGTAACTAATCAATACAGTCGTAGCACATACTAAATCTCAAATGGATGACTTCCTTTGGGAAACAGTGCACAGCACAGAGCAGCTTTTTACACCGTTACAGTGTAAGCCTTGATGTTCTGGAAAATCTTCCTGTTGAAGAAAATCCAAGCTTTTATATTTAAAAAAAGTGTGGTGCACAGAATAAGCACTTACCTTATAGGCTCCTGGACCAGGGGTGGACTGAACAATGTCTTTGAAGCGGGGTTGTATGGATGATATTAACCCCAACTTGGGTTTGATCTTGACCTCGGGATAGTATACATTAGGTCCTGGGGAGCAAAGTTTAGAAAGGGTTTAATCAACAGGCCACATCCACCTGGAGCATTTTCTCCCTCAGTAGTCAAAAAAGCTACCGTCAGCTCAGTTCTAAATAATAACAGTAATAATAATCACTGCACTTGATACGGCGCCTTATAAGTCAGAAGATGACTCGAAGCAAACCTTCGCAGATGTGAACATCTTTAATGTCTACCTGAACAGGGAGATGGGACTTTGGTTTAACGTCTCATCTGAACAACGCAGCAAATCCCTGGCAATGTATTGGAGTGTCAACTTAGACTTACAGTCCTAACGTGGGATTTGAACACACAACTTTCTGGCTCAGAGGCAATTGGGCCCAGACTAACAATGCCAAAATGGTTTGGGATAGCACCCAATCTCATATTTCACATGATCCCCAGGTCAGAAAGAAAGAAAGAAAGAAAGAAAGAAAGAAAGAAAGAAAGAAAGAAAGAAAGAAAGAAAGAAAGAAAGAAAGAAAGAAAGAAAGAAAGAAAGAAAGAAAGAAAGAAAGAAAGAAAGAACGAGCGAGCGAGCGAGCATAGACAAGGGAACATTGATCATTCAGCTTTTAAGGCTTACAGTGCCCTTGGATGATGGGTCCAGAGATTTCCCAAACAATTTATTCTGGTAAAGGTCAACATGTGCAATATTGATCTGTATCTTGGGATCTGGGCAGCTGAGTCAGTTGACTTGGCACCAGAAGATTTTCGGTTTGAATCCCACTGCCACGTCTGAAGAAATCATCTTGGGGGAGGAGAGGCAAGTGGGGTCTCCCCGGAGTTGAACAGTACAGTACCTTAGAAGACATCCTTGGCAAAACCAGACCAGTCTGCAGTAACCCAAGCAGGACTTGGAGGTGTGGACGTAAGTCCCATCCCATAAACCAAAGCTCTAGCTGGGCAAATACTACGCTGTGCATTCGCTGCATTCATTTAACAACAGCAGCTTGCATTTACAGCCCGTTCTCATGTCACTGCGGCCACAGAGAGACCACCACTGGGCTAGCCTATATGAGCTAAAAGTCCTGATGTAGGACTGGAACCCACAGCCTTCTGACTCGGGGTGGGGGGGGGGGAGGGAGATTGCTACCCACTGAGTCAGGCTGACATATTTCCTTAGTTCATGACTAAAAGGATTAGCTAGTTGAGCAGAATTATCAAATGTCCAAACAGGATGGAGGACATTTAGGTTCTAGAATCATTTCAGCAGTAACCACTTACAAGCACACGTGAAATTCAACACTAGTTAAGCAAATAAAGTGGAATAACAGCCTGTGAAGTCTAACCCACAAAACGTATCGCAGCCCATCTCTCTGTTCCTTAAGCATTTAAAAGCTCGGATTTAAAGTCTAATGAGTGTAATAGCTCCTTTCTTTACATCAACAGTAAAAATATTTTAATTTGTGCAGTTCTGATGCATGTCTGCCTGCTTCCCGTATATATCTGTGCATTTTGATCCTGGCTCATTGAAGTGGTTCCCTGAAATTGCCCCAAAATGTAAGTTTACAAAAGGAAATTACACTGCGAGGGTTTGACCACGCGTAAGCCATTAAGTACAATGTGCTCACAGTTTATCAGTGCTTTGCCATAGTTTTACTTCACTGTATACATTGTCAAAGTCTCCCAATTCTGAGCATCATGATGCACTGCAAAAGTAGGGACCTTGGGAGACGCCACATTTAATCCAGAGATTTTAAATGTCTGACGGGAAATACTACACTCTGGCAGCACATTAGTTGAAAGCGATGCTTTGTTGGTTGGAGGGTAGAAGGAGAGAAACAAAGTGGAGTCCTGTAGCATAATGGTTAGAGCACTCTCCTCGCAAGCGAGAGGATCTGGGCTCGATTCCTGGGCGGGGTGAAACCTTCGGCGAGTTTCCTTACTCCTAACACATCAGTAGCAGCAAGTAAGAAGCCGGTTGTTAGTTGATTGGCGGATCGCTTCCTGGGGGTAATAATCCCTTCCAAAAAAATTATAAAATAATAATTTGGTCACTCAATCCGCGGCTTTTTGTGGGAAGATGCTGGGCGTAATTGGCTGCCGAGTTTCTCCCACAAAAATACACGGGCAATTCAAGTTACAGTATATTCTGTGAAGCGCTTTGAGACATCTCAACAACAACAAATTGCACTTATATAGAACCCTCCAACCAGGGAAGCGTCTCAGAACGCTCAACGACAAGATAAGGCATTAAATCAAAAGCAAGGATTATTGTTATAATGATTATTATGCTCATTATTATTATCATTATTAATGTCCTTTGAGCCTCTTGTCTGGCCATTTGATATGAAAAGCCCATCTAGGTGAGGCCCACAATTATATACCCCTCTCAGCCGTACGCAAACTCAATCCTCGCAAAATGTCAAGTAATGTTGAGCAAATGGAGCATGTAACAGGGAGATAGGTGGCAGCAATTTAGTAAACAAGCCCAGATGTCCTCCCAACCTCACGCAAAGGTTCCAGTACACCAGGTAAGCCCTGGCGGGGGAAACAAAAAATCTCCTTTTAATGATACAGGAGCTGAAGGGAAGCTGCCACTGAAGTGGTTGCATGATGAGGAATAATTACAGCCCATGGAGGGACACTTGAAATATGAGACTGGCCATCGGAGCTCGTTCCCCGTATGAAATATTACCTGCCTGCGCCAAGTCTGTTTTAAGCTTCAGTGAGGAGAGAACCTGACACACCATTTATTTTACTCTGAGTGACCTCTGCTGGCAAAAAGAAGTCACGAGTCAAAACCGCATTTGCTGCAAAATGGGACCCGCAATGGGGTTGGGGACGGTGGTGGTGGTGGGTGGGTGGGGAGGGGGTGGGAGGCTGGGTGGGGGGGGAATGCATCTCAATTTTTTTTCACAGATACTATAATCTTGTTTATTAATGGTTACTGACAACAGCAGGGGCTGCTCTGACTTCCACTTAACCTTGGAATCACATTTCAGCTGCATGACGCATCCTGCGGTTCGGTTCCTTGTCTTGAAAGCTGACAGTTTAAAGGGCGGTATGTTCAGTCAGCGTAATAGCGTTCTAAGCTGATCCTGGGATCTAATTTGCACTATTCATAACCGGTTTGGGAAGTGCGAGTTCTGACCTGGATTTGCAACCCGTTAAAAGAGACGTCTCGGTGATGTTTGCACAAAGGTGATTTCAGAAAGTCAGCTAAATGTGAACTTCCCAGTGTTGCTCTACAACTCCTGCAGTCCTATCGTTACACCTTAGCTCGATTTCTCCACACAAGAATCTAATTCTTTTCCCCTTAAATTTCCTGTGAAAAGCTCTATATCAAATGCAAGGATTATTATTATTATTATGTGATACACTGCAGCTCAATTATAATGCACTTCACTAAAGCATACATTTGCTTATATAGTCGAGCTTGATCCAGTAAGCTTGGAATCCCCACACATGCCCACTCCCCGCAGGGTCTACTGATAATAATAGTTCACCCAATGGTTCAACAACTCACTGGGTAAAACCAGGAATGCCACACATTTAAGAAAACAATGAGTAATAATTATAATAATTCTTGCATTGGGAAGCCCTAAAGTCCTGCCAGTTGGGAAGCCCTGAAGTACTTCACGAGATTTTCCGTAAAGTGCAGTGAATGTAGTTTGAAGATGATATGTAAGGCTTTATTCTGAAACACTGTACCATTCCGGCAGGCCCTCCGACCCATTCAATCCCTCCCTCCCCTCTTTGAAGGCAAAATCAGCTTGAAACAACATTCTCTTAATCGCAGTTCCTGCTAAAAATCAGCTTGAACCAACATTAAAATCAGTTTGAAGCTCAAAATCGGGTTTAAGATAGATTATGAGTCCAAAGTCTCAATGTGAGGCCTGAACCCACAGCTTTTTAAACTCAAGAGGCGAGAACGCTACCAACTGAGCCAGGCTGGAACCGGCCAGAGTATTAGTCAGTCTGTATACACAAGTATCTAGTGAATAGGGTACTTTTCACTCGTACTCTACTGCATTCAATACTCTGCACGTGTGGATCCAGGGGCAGCTTTGGCTGTTCAAAGCTGTTTTGCTAAGTTTTGTTGTTCGTCAGATTGTTAAAGAAATGACAAAACACAGCAGGGTATATTCAAAAAGAAAAAAAGTTGACTTCTGATCAGTGTATACATGTAGTAATTAGGCAGTACTGAGTGATACCGAGCAAACACATTGCATAAGGATCTCACTTCCTCATATCAAAACAGCAGGACTGTTTTCCATCGGCTTCAATTAAATGTAAGATACTCAACAGCACTACAGGGGAGCTCTTTATTGAAGGATTAGTCTTAAGCTTTATAAACAACCCACCTAGGAAAACCGTGGATCACAAAAATGTATAGAGGGGTTAACACAACAGCTTTGTGTGGGACACAGAAATATATTTCTCAAGCTCCATTTGCCCTGACATCAGCATAAAAGAAACCTACGTCCTACCCAAGGCTTTCCATGCTCCGTATCACCTTATCGCATGTTTGTTCAGGGAAACGGACGGAATGCGCATGTTCTCCGTGGAGTCATATAAATATGATAAATTAAAAAAAAAGTGAATGCTTTTACTTCAGGGAGTGGTGATCCTCCGATAATAAGTACTCTCCGTGAATAGTACTTCCATTAATAGTAGTCACTCCCCTTTAATATTGGCTCAAGAGGCTGCCATTGGTCTGGATGAATGGTCTTTGCCTATCCCTTGTGACTCCTTGTCTGCCTAGTGATACTAATGTAAATTACACTCTACAAACCAGCCCTGCCGGGATAGATTTAGTCAGCTATTTATGTTCATAACTGTCTGAACATATTGATACTCTCAGTTTTGCCCACACAATAGAACAAATGTAGAACTGGTTACCAGCAAAACAGAATTGGCAGCCAATTGCCAAAACATGACAAGTGGAACACACTATAATAATGATGTCCTGATGAAAAAAAAAACAACTAAGAAGATAGATGACATATGTCAGAAATGTTAAGACCAAAATTTAATTCATTCTCTCT